TTAATCGCGTGTGACGATGGCATAAAATTCCATTACCGTAGTTAAGAGCTGAAATACACTTCCGGATTAGTGGGTGCGCATTTAGAATAAAATGAGGGTTAGCTCTTTAAATCGCGATAAGGATTATAGTCGCCGCTCGACGTTATTTTTGCGAGAAGATATTTACGGCGCGTTTAAAGCAGGGCAAATTGTTATCTAATCTCGTAATCAATAACATAAATTAAGCTAACACGTTTAGAAACTAATTTTGCGTACAAGTGCACCACGTGCAATTTCAGCGATATTATCACCTAACGACTTGAATGCTCGAATAACGGTCTTAACGAACGTAATATACACGTGCGAGATATTCATGCATCGATCGATGTCGATTAAAATAAACCACTCGGATGACCACCCCTATCGGTGCAAAGGTATTATTAAACAAAAAAAAAAAAAAGATTTATATGAAACATTAATAATTTCCCTTAGACGTAAACTACAAGTTGACGTGCTGATTGCGCGCATAATATACGCGAGAACATCTTCGGAATAATAATTGCGAAACTTTTTTTATCATTCATTCCTACGTCATCGTCGACCGCGACGATCTACGAGATTCTTTCCAGCTTTTCATCGAAGTATCAAACGGCGAATCTCATTATTCAACATCCAAGCATCTAGCTGCATAAATATTTGTCGCTAGACACGATCTTCTCGCCCCAGAAAAACGACTCCGCGACACGTGATCCCCAAGTTGGAAAAAGTGAGAGGTAGGAAACCGTGGAAAGACCTAGTTAACTGAATCACATAAACCAGATTAGGATTAGCTAGATGTGAGACGAAAGTTGATCCACCAACACGGATTACTTAATCCGATTTTTTCCGGCTGTACGTCATTGCTCACGTCATGCCGGGTCTTATTTCGTTTGTCTGTCGGACGGGACTTTATTCAGACACCTTGATCGCAAGTGTCGGAGCAACAATAACACGGGAGTACAACGCGGAGAAAAGAAAATATCCTCTATTCAACGTTACGTGACATCGATCGGGGAATCGATCGAAGAGAAAAGTGCAAAATATTAAGTACTAACATCGACAAAATATTACAATTTTCTTATTAGACACGATTTAAGAAACTCGTCGTATATAAACAGATGTGAAAATATTTTTATATTTTACATTAACAAAGAAATCGACCCGGGTTCGAGTAATTAAGCACGACGAACAAGTGTCTGTGACTTTGAAAATTCCAGCATCTCCGGGGCTTTCCATTTCTCTGAATTTTATTGTGTCTAATAAGAAAATTGTAATATTTTGTCGATGTCAGTACTTAATATTTTGCACTTTTCTCTTCGATCGATTCCCCGATCGATGTCACGTAACGTTGAATAGAGGATATTTTCTTTTCTCCACGTTGTACTCCCGTGTTATTGTTGCTCCGACACTTGCGATCAAGGTGTCTGAATAAAATACAAATATTAAGTACTAACACTAAGAAATACTACATTTGTAAGAATGTCGTGTTGTATCGTGCAAAACCGTCGTAAAAAAAAGGAAAATTAAATTTGAAACAACAAGGCTTGATATCGAGCGAGCCTTATTTATTTATAATGCTCATATCACACTACTAATTGGCATCTGCGTCATATACGCGCTTACAATTATCTCTTGATTAATCAGAGAAGAGCTGTTAATGATTATGAAGAATAGAAGAAAAGCTAAACGAGAATTGTGGATCATGATCGTCAACACTACTTTCCGATTGATCAAGAGATCAATCGTGAACGCAAACGCGACACAGACGCAGTCGTTAATCGCTAGTGTGATACGTTAACCGCGAGAGGAAACAAATGCCGACGACAACTTGAAAAACTCGACATTTGTGTCAGAACTGTCCGTCGCGTAATCCTCACGCGAGTATATATAAATTCGGAGTCCCGACGCTCCCCTGATCCTAATTTCCCAAAGTTGAATTAAATCTCCCGATATCGGCGTGAAAATAATTTTTGACTAATTCGCCAGATCCGAGACTAACAGCAAAGCGGCCCGAAATCGTCCCGCGAACGTAATTTCGAATGCAATCGCGTTTGACGGTCGTGTGAACCCATGTTTATTCGCTTTGCCTCGGAGTAGGTGCAGCCCCACTCTCGTATTCCGACATGCGCGTTCTCACCCCCGTGCGCGACGACGGCGACCGGACGGAGGGGATGAAGTAGGAGAACGAATTTCAGCGAATTACCTTAATCAGTCTAAGATCGCCTACGTCAGGTGCATCTAGACTCGGTAAACCACCCTGCGGGGAAAATTACTATTTTCCGCGGCGCAAACCACCCCAACCAACCAACAGTGGATCGATCCCGTCGACTTCAGCGAGTTAAGGCTTGGTGGCCATGTTGGCGAAGAGAAAAGAAACGGAAAGCCCCGGAGATGCTGAAATTTTCAAAGTCACAGACACTCGTTCGTCGTGTTTAATTACTCGAACCCGAGTCGATTTCTTTGTTAATGTAAAATATAAAAATATTTTTAGATCTATTTATATACGACGAGTTTATTGAATCGTGTCTAATAAGAAAATTATTTCGCAGTGAGATAAATTTCATAATGACAGAACGTTGAAATAAATTCAATAAAGTGGGTTATTAATCGACAATGAATCCGTCATTTTTCATTTTGCCATCTTTGCAACTACTGTTATCACGGAATACCACTGTAAGTTATGAATAACGTTTCGTCGTGGTGTTATGTACAGAAAACACTCGAAGAAGGCATCCTCGAAGGTCAAAAAATTCGATCGTCTCTCCCCCTTTCCCAAATTTCTACTTCGACCCGAGCATCCATTTAAAAACACAAACAATCTCCCGCAGTACAGTATATACAGTTCTATGTTTTCTGGCGTTATGCGCGCGAACTTTCGGACAGATTTAAATACGTTAACATACATCAAAAAGTTTTCGGCTTTCCGCATATCTCGGCGACAAGTTTCGCGCGTCTGTCACGTAGGTAAACACTCGGCGACACTGCTCCCCGCGCGTTTTTTCACATTGGCTCGCGCAATTGCGTCGCGGCGAGCGGGAAAAAACGGCGTCGCTCCTCCGCACGCATAGATTTGCATGTATAACGTCGCGAGAGCGCGATTAATACGTTCTTCGCGAACGGCCGGTTCATTGGACTCCGCGATCTGCGTGCGTGCGGCTTCTCACGCGTGACGTCTCACGGAGTGAAAGAATGATTCACGCCTCTCGTCAAGATGGATCGAAATGGCACGGCGCTCTCGCGCAAACCGACGAAAATGGGCGGAAAAATCGTGCGCAAAAGTTCGCAACAGCAACAGGTACTTTGCGGCAACGCACCTTACCGAGAACTATCACGAAGAAACCGGCGACGCCCACACAAGAGGCGGCGCTCGACTGATAGAGCAGCGCGTCTCTAGACAACACGGCTATCGTCTATGCCGATAACGAAACAAAAACTACCCAAACGTCAACTCGTAAACAAGCCAAATGTATGAATTTGGAAACAGTGTTTGTACATACAAGGTCATGTAAGAGTTGCGCGCCTGAAGTCTACATAGAGAGGATTTTGTAGCAGAAATTATTATGGGGGATTCTCTTTGTAAATCATGTAAGGAATAGATCGACGTTTTACAATAATTCCCTATCCTTTCATGTGCCATTTATATTTTAGAAACTAAAATGTACTATTGAAACACCTGCTATATTTCGAATAAAATTTATTACGTTCCTTAGCAAGATAGACTTTACTATCTTACTGAATAGTCTATTCCTCAACGAAAAACATAGTAGAATTGAAAAAATGTATATAAATATAAGAAATTATAATATCCTCTCCGTGCATGTGTGTGCGCTCGTACGATGGATATTCGATGAGTAATACAGAATCAAATTAAAATTACAATTATGACGAGCAGAATACTGCGCTTCTAATTACCCCCCGGCACCTATTTCCTCTTTCGCGAAAGAAACTTGGAATCGATTGTCGACCCTGATATCACGCGCGTCACAAAGATATATCTTGATATCAGCTCGGCTGATCCTGTCTCACGCGTCGCGCGTATCCTGCACGGTTCTTTGGTGCGTTAGGCATGACATCGGTACAATGTTGCGCCGGACAGAACATGTTACTTCGGAATTCATCCTATTTTACGCGAGGCGCGTTTTGCTCAAACACATACATGAAGGGTTTGCACGGCACGTCTACGCGAGTTATCGAGAGTACGATAAAATGGAGCGCGGATTTAATCCACCGTCGCCCACGGCGAATCCTGTGCGCTTTCCTCGTATTCTCTTTGAGTTATTTTTCGTTAAAAACCTCCTCGAGGAAGATTCGCAATAGATTTAGAAGACACGAACACGCAATAACCAATTTTCCAACTATCACTACTTTAAAGAGCATATCAATTGTCTACATTTGAAAAACTGACGCTTTTAAAGTCGATCTTTCACATTCAGTGATATCAGCAATCAATTTCTCGCGATCAAAAGCCGGGATACTCGTGCGATTTTGTCGACAAATACAACCAGAAAAATATCCGCGCAAAATGTTAACTGTCATATACTCTTTGGATAACGTTTTACCCGTTTGTAGCTTTCGAAGCACGCGAAAGAACTACGGTAAATACAGAATGCAATTTGTGTTCGGTAATTGAGTAAACCTCCTCCAAACTATCGTAAGCAAATGATCGAATTGCAGTAAGGATTTGGTATGTTTTCGCGGCGATTTTTCAAGAATCGTTCGAGGATTAATAATTCAAATAACATCCTACCCTTTTCCCACAACACTTCATTAGCTACGATGTCGAGCATCGACAGCATATAATAGTAACAACCTACACTAGCAATTTTTAACTTTAAAATGTAGCTGCGATTAAAAACAACCCCAAACAAACGTGCGCGTCGAGTGTAAAGAGCTATCGCGCTCGTTGCGCGAGGCCCAATCTCGGGCCCAAAAGGGGGTAGCGCCCAACTAAGTACATAACAACGTTCTCGCATGCTTCTTACCTATGTTACAAGCCTGACGGGCTGGGGTGACGGGCAGGGGTGCGCAGCAACGCCCGCTGAGGGCCGCGACCCTTATCCGGGGGGTACCAATCCCCCCGGGGCCCCCTCCCCCGTCCCCGGCGCCCCCGTAGCCCTCCACCTCCCCAGCCGCGACCGCGGCCACCCCTGCCCCCACTCCCTCGCCGGGCCCGGGACCACCACCAGGCCCACCTTCGACGGGCCCGTACCGGCCGAACGGTCCCGAGGGCCCCAGTGCACCCACTTTTACTGCGTTGTTATCACAACGGCCGTTAAATCGCACTTCTCACACTTTCACCCCCGTTTAATGCTTAATGCCAGCGTTTCTCCTCCCCCTCGACTTCTCGCGGCACTCACTGCAAAATACTTCGCGCCGCGCGAAGTTCGTCTTCTTTTCTCT